CGCCCACCTCCCATACAAAGGTTATGTTGAAAATCATTAAAAGTGTGTTAACCGACTAACAAAAAACGTCAGAAACGCTAAGTTTTACGGAAGCAATGTCAGAAGGAAGCAGCATCCAGGCTTTTTTTAATTGAAAATGGGCGTGGCGTCGCCCACTTATGGACCAAGCGTCATATCTCAGGAAGTACTAGACCGATTTCAATGAAATTCGGTATATAATATTTTCTTAACACCCTGATGACATGTACCAAATATGGGTGAAATCGGTTCACAATCAAGACTGAAATCTCGATTATCACTTTATCATGCGAGAGTATAAAATGTTMGGTGACACCCGAACTTAGCCCTTCCTTACTTGTTTCTTTTACAATTGCACCTAGTATATTAAAATACTAACAAAATTTTTAGTCTAATTAATTACGAGAAATATTTAAAAGCTAAATGTTAAGAAAAAGATTTGCTGCTACTATTACCTTAATAGGTCGGAAGGGTTCTTGCGTTTCAACCAGATTTCTCTACCAGCAGTTTCGATTAGTCTGGAGGCTTCTATACATTCATTAACGTGCTGTCTAAGCCTCAGTTCGTGAAACTTTGCAATCTTTGAGATTTCATTTACCACTAAATTCGTGCCTAAATCACGGTGCAGGTCAACAGATCTAACGTGCCAATGCTCGCAATACAGCTTTGACTTGAGCAACCCCATAGTTGGACTCCGTAGACTCAAACTAGCTTTATTCATGTCATTTAATTTGATGCGCCACTTAGATGTCAACTTAGCAATTGCATTGACTGTTGTCTGCACTCATCGACTTGATACTGAAGTTGACTCTCCAGCTGCTAACAAAGCTGTGTCATCCGCAATTTCCGCTGTCAAATAACTAGAGTCAGATGGGAGGTCAATGGTAAAAAGCAAATAAAGCATTGGCGCCAACACGCTGTATTTCAATTTGTGCAGGAGACCCGAATGCCAAACTTTGTCAAAAAAGTCCAAGAAGGCCGCCGTAGAAACTTTGTTCTTATCAATTGTGTTTTCAACGAAAATACCTGCTCAATTGTTGAATGGTGGTCACGGAAGCCAAATTGATGTGTTGGCATGAAGTGTTTATGAATGATTATTGGTTTGAGCTTATTTATTTATTTMTTTATAAATGTGAAAAAATAATACAATTATTTTATTTACACGAAAAAAGGTGCACTGGCTGCCAGGGCCTTCGGCTCGCTGGTAAATCTAAGGCTAGGTGACTAAAATTAAGTTCTATTGTCCACGCTTTATGTATTTAAAATCTTCATAAAATCTATATACATGCTTAAGTAAAACAAAAATAAAGTTCTTATCTAAGCTAGGTAGGATGTCATATTAAATGTTTTAGACCGCATTTATCCAAATATTTTGATATTTTTGTAACGTTCTCGAGAGATGTAGTTTTCAAGTGTTGTAGATAGTAGTTTGAAATGCTTTAGAAATGGTGGCATTCGTCGAGCAGGTGATGTACTGTTAGTGAAGCCCCCCGGCAATATTGGCAGTAAGGCTTACTGGACCGATTGAAGAAGTACGAATGTGTGGCTATTGTGTGCCCTAAGCGTAGGCGGACAAATGATTTAACATCGTTACAGCGACAGTTTGGTGGATAGGTTGGTTTGCTCCTATCTGGGTTATTTAAAGTGTATTGGTGCTGGATGTGTCTCCAACTCTCCATTAGCGATTTAAGTTGGTGTTGGTGTGCCATCTTATATAAGTCCTTATTCTGAAGAAAGTCAAATGTAACGAGCGGTTCACTAGCCGCTAGTTTAGCGCGTTTATCTGCCAGTTCATTCCCGCGTATGCCGGCCTGGCCTGGAATCCACATTAGTTTTATGTTGGTGCTGTTTTCAGCTAATTTGCTCCAGATRCAAGAAATGATGTTACATTTACTCATAACATTTAAGACCGCTGACATAGTTGATTTGCTATATGTACAAATAATTGCTTTGCTGTTGATAAATGGCGGGGTTGGTGTGACTTTTGTTGAATTTCTCCAAGCTTAAAATGAACGATGTATGTTTTATCTGCCAGGTAGGAAATACTTCTCTCTGCCGTAGTGATGACATGGTGATTCCAAGCTTTCTGGCGAGTTGAAATTGTCGATTTGCGTCCAGGATCTCTTGGTTCTTGTGGAAGCACTGTTGAGATATTTGTGCTTGTGGTCAACGATAGGACCATGTGCGCTATTAATTGAAGTAATATGCGATTGAGGATTAGTGACAGAAAGTCGTTTAATATCGGACCATGCTCTTTTTGGATTTGTTTGATGGTTAATGGACTCGGAGAATTTGTTTCAGCACTCCCTTTTGGATTCTTTTTGTTTTTTCCTAAAGATCGCATTTGCCTTTTTGTATAGCATTAAATTTGAATTTGACCTTGTTCGCTTATATTCCGTCCAAAGAAATCTTTTTTCGTTTCGTAATTGAGATAGTTCAGAGGACCAGTGGGGCGCGATCTTTTCATGAACTTTGGGATTGGTTTGTGGAACAGACAGATGGGCTGATATGCGAATGATTTTTGTAATTGTGGCAACTTCCCTGCTGATATTGGGAGTGCAAGTACAGTCCGCGCAAAGTCTGGAAGCAGTCGTTCCAAAGATGTCCCAGTTAGCTTTTCCTATAATAAACCTTGACTTCTGTGGGCTTTTAGAAGTGAAAGGAGTGGAAAGGGATGYAAGGATAGGGTAATGATCACTGCCATGCAGATGGGAAAGGGTGTTTGTCGTTAATTTAGGCGCAATGTTACAGGAACAGATTGTAAGGTCTACAGTGGTGAATGTTTTGTGTGTGGAAAAGTGTGTTGGTTTGTTATCATTCAGTATAACAAGGTTTTCAGAGAAGACTAAGTCTTCRATCATAGAACCCCTGATATTTGTGGTGGCAGAGCCCCAAAGAGAGCTCCACGCATTGAAATCGCCTACGATTATAAATGGGGTCGATATCGAAAAATATTTATTAAGTCGCTGCAAGAAAAATAGTGTGAAGGTGGTATATAAAGTGAAATAATTGAAAATTGGAAAGATAATGAGATTTCTATTGCTATTGTGGCTATATTTGAAGATATAGGGATTTGTTTGTGTGGTATGGACTCTTAATTAAAATGGCGATGCCTTGCTTGCTAGTTAGATTTTGAGGCAAGTTGTAAAAGTAACTTTGGTATTGATTAGGCGCCGCCGCAGACTTGCCCGCAGCAAGGTTAGTTTCCTGAAGGGAAATAAAACTTGGAGCGTATTCTTTAATTAGTATATCCAMTTCGTGGAAGTTGTTGTAGTATCGGTGCATATTCCACTGTAGGATATTAAACATTGTGGCTAGAAAAGGTTGCTAAGGAGGTGTTTATATGCTATGTTGAGAGTGGTTGATACTTAGTGATCAGAGCATCGTTGATGGCTTTGTCATCTAAATTGTTTTGCGTGAGACAGAGATTGATAACGGAGGTATCAGTTGTCTCTGTTGAGAATGCAGGTGAACCTGCGTTATATTGATAGGAGTTGGATTGAGCGATAATGTTGGCGAGAGTTGATTCGAGGTTTAGTTGTGTGTGAGTGAAAGACTGTGGAACAGGAGTGAAAGAGGAGGCTGAGCTATTGGTGACATGTTGATTGCTGATGTTTTGAGGTGAGTTTTCCGGTGGTGAGTTGTTGGAAGAAAGATCGTGTGAAGTCGTAATGGGTGATTTGTTGACTAAAGAATGTGTAGGTATATCAAGAGAATTGGAGGTGGACTTAGCGTTACTATTTGACAGCTGTGCCTCTCTGGCAACTACGGCGAAAGAAGTGTTCATTATTGATGGTGATTGTGCTTTGTAGAGTTTAATTGCTTCTCTCATGGAGCATTTATTTTGACATTTTATTTTTAGTATCTTCTTCGTTTGCAGATATTTTGGGCAAGTGTTGGCAGAGGATGGGTGATCTCCTGAGTAGTTTACACATAGTGTGCGCGTGCAAGGTAAAGAATGAATAGGAAGACTGCAAGAAGCACACACGGGAGGTTTATTGCATCGTTTCGCGGTATGCCCAAGNAKTTGGCAAGATTTGCATCGCATTGGGTTGGGGTAATACGGTTTTACTTTTGCACTTCTCCAAGATACTTCTACCTTTTCAGGTAACTCAAAAAGATCAAAGGTAAGTAAAACTACACCCGTGGGTTGGGGTAGTGGTACTCCCTCCGTCCGCCTAGTAAATTTGTAAGCATCGACTACATCTTGTGAGACAGGGAGCAAAGATTGTCCCTTTCACGCTATTGAGGTTGTCATGTATTTCGCTTCAATTTCACATACACCAGGAAGCTTTTTGGCTGAAATAAACTTTTGGGCAATTTGGTTATTTTTTACCAGCAGCAGAAGATTACCAGCACGCAACTCACACATTGAGATGATTTCTTTGCTAATAGCTTCTAAGGCTTTGTGGACAGCGAAGCATGAATACTTCGAAATTGGCTTGTTTGAGTCCGTTGCACTAATGAGAATATATTTCGGGCTTTCTTTTTTGGCCTGCGGCAGGTCAGGAAAGTTGAGCGGGGAGTAGGTCGGTTTCTTTCTTTTTGGCTGGGATCCAGGGGCAAGCAATGCAAACCTATTATCTCCAAGGTTGGGCGGCCCGGGGGCCATATTAAACAAATCTTCACACTTGATGCACTTATCTGCAATACACTTATGGATTGAAAGAATACAAGAAGATTTATAATTGTAAACACGTGTACGTATCCGAAAATGTACGATGCGCAGAATGTCAGCAATGCGTAAAGACTTCTCAGAGCGAGCACTTGTCGAAAACTGTGGTTTGAGCTTATTTATGAGTACATTCTCAAAGCGTTTAGATAAAGCTGGCAGCAGCGAGATTGGTCTACATGATGTAACATCGTGTACTGGTTTACACGGCTTAGGTATCATTATGACTGCTATATTTAATATAATAATATTTATGTTTAAGTAAATGTCTATTTCCTTCCCAAAAACCATTTCTGTATACGCCGCAGTATTATAAGATATCAAATATATCGTAATCTATTGAATGAGTATAAAATGTTTGGTTAAAGCTGAAATTATTTCTTTCTTACTTGTTAATTTATCGATACATATATATCTGATTTTCTTAATTCTGCATCTATAATTCTTCATCTTTTCGCTATAATGTCTCTTGCTGAAGGTTTAGTTGTTTTGTGCGTTGATTAAAAATTTCTGAAAGGAAATAATTACAAGGGATAAGCGCGACTTTGAACAATTTATTACCCGTTTTATTAATCGACTGATATTTTTAGGCAAAATAAACGCTTTTAAAGTACTCAAATGATAGTTAATAACTTGCTGCATAGTGAATCTGAGATATTCTTGAACCCCGACACGTGCGTCACTCCCGTCCCCTGAAATCGTATGCCGGTCCAAAAAATCAATTCGGTAACAACGGGCAAGAATCGATCTCAGTGTCTTTAAGTCACTCRAAAATTCGATGCCATGACGATTGATAATTTTCTTAGTATCCTATTTAGCTATTACGGTCAATGCAGTATTTTTTTTTTAACTTCTTTCAGGACACTCACAAAGGAAGTTATCTAATGGACCGACTGTGCCAACGGTTGGAGATAAAGGAAAAGGATTACTTTGGGCTGCGTTTTGTGGATAATGCCAGACAAAGAGTATGCCAAAAAGATTATGCTGACAAAATAATTAAAAAAAAAAAAATATTTACTTTGCAGCAATGGTTGGATTTAGGAAAACTAATAATAAAGCAATGTAAAGGTGAATACTTTTTAAAACACATATCTATGCTATCTTAATACATTATATCTACATTATACCTATGCTAACTTTAGACTTTTATTTCAGATATACATCATTTAATATTCTCATTTCGAGTAAAATTTTATCCAGCCGATCCGTTTCATTTGAGTTTAAATGTAAGAGTTTTGTTGTATAAACAATTGAAGCGTGATCTTAACCACGGGCGTATTTATTGTTCTAGTAATGAGATAGTAACTTTGGGAGCTCTAATTGTACAAGGTAGAATCATTCAATTAGTTGTGTGTAAATACATAGTTTATTTTGTACTTTTGCAGAGCAATTTTCAGACTACAATGAAAATATACACACTGGTGACTACTTATCAAACCTCCGGCTATCTGCTCGACAAACAGATGCAATTGAAAAAAAAATTATTAAGAAGCACAGAGAACGAAYACCTGGACAAGATCCCATCATTGTAATAGATGAGTTCTTAAGAATAACTCGCAATTTGGAAACGTATGGTACAGAACCTCATTATGTAAAAGATCATCAGGGGGTCCAAATGTATATTGGAATAAATTTTTCTGGAATAAGTGCATTTATTTCTGGAAAACGTACTCAACATTTCCTCTGGAACGAGATACGAAAATTAAATTTTGAAGGAAAAATGTTTATAGCACATTTATCCTATATGGACACAAGTAGAGAAGTTGTAAGTATATTTAAATTTTATGTAATATAATATAAACTAATAGTTAACACTTAAAATTAAAATTTTATCAACATTTCTAATGTCTAACGTATTACTTTCGCATGAACAACTTTGTGCTCCACAATCGTCATCCGAATATTTATATATTCTTGCACCTTGAGCAGTTAATAGTTTGGTTCACCTAACAGTTGCTTGTATCTACCTAAAACTAATGGGCATACGTATATACATATAGGAATACATATATATATATAAACGATGTGTTAATTAACACAGTTAATTTATCTAATTTCACCTGAAAATCGACTTAACAAATGAAGAAATGCGTCCATTAATTCTATTATATGGAAAATATTTACAAGAAAACGGCTTTTATTTCAAAATACTATATGACAATATTTTCTTTTGATAAATATTAAACGATGTGAATTCTTGAATGGCAAAAACAGCTGTTTTTTCATCTTTCCAACGGCAGTGAGAACGGGCTGATTAGTGAATGTAATTAAATGCAATCTAATCACTTCAAATTTTCGGTCTGAACATGGTATAATATTGGGTAGTCAATAAAGACTGTTCTTATTTTGTCAGTAGACGTCGTTGCAGTCGTATATCACCAGCCCTACTAATCCAACCATATCGGATCAGTTCGTGTAGCACAACAGCTGTTCGCTCGCTTCCGTTCTGGAAATTTCGATGTTAAAGATCCTTTTCGCTTTGGTCGACCTATGGTTGAAATGCTGCTAATTCTATTTTAGGCAATTGTTGCTTTGTAGAACAATGTTTGTAGGTTTCTTGGGTGACATTCTTACATATTTACATGCATATGCAGGTTTATGTATGTGGGAACTAGAAGTGGGCGAACGTACGGACAGTAACATGCAACACTGTCATAGTACGATAATGAACTGAAAATCGCGTTGTGAATCCTTCTACATGCACATTTGTGAGAAATCAGCAACATAGCAATGGCCAGCAGTACACAAGACAACACAGCTGTCCAATTTCCATGTACACAATTTCGTTGTAGACATACTAATGCGTTGCACTTCAATGAAATTTTAATATTTTATCCAAAGTGAAATTTTTTTGCAAAAATAAGTAAATGGGTAAATTTATTGGTTTCAAATTATTAATTGTTATTACAAATGATGTAACAGAGCTATTTTATGCTTTTATTTGTAAAGTAACGTCAGGTTTGTTAGAACATTGAATAATTTTACATATAAGTGGCATCACCACTCTACTTCATCTTTCTACTATCAACCCTACTGTCGTTGGTAGTATAATGAATGGTAGTATATTGAAGTATAAAAATATATTGATGCTAGCTAGAGCGACAACTGTCGGAATGCAGTCGTATAGTCCGGCAGCTGTCAAAATAACAGTATCCATGAGAACGTGTGTATTTCAATATTTGACAGATGTCGCTTGCAGCCTCTCGCGCTCATTGTGTTCAGCACATCACTCGACATGCGGACGAGCACGATTCAAGATGCAAGAAGTTGGTAAAATAAAAATAAGACCAGTTTATAAAACTAAAATAAAATCAGTTTGCGAAATTATAATAAGAACAATTTGAAAACCAAAATAAAAATAAGTTTGTAAAATCAAAATCAACTTATAAATCCTTTTATATAAAAAACTCGAACCCACCCTACAAACTGGGGTCTCAACCGGTGGTATTGTGAACGAAAAAAGGAGTTTTAAAATCATTTGTTTGCTGTGCTTTGAAAAATTCCGTCATCAAACGCCATAAAAACATTCAACATTTAATCGTCCGTTATTCAAACATTCTAAAATTCTGGAAAGTTCGGAAACCGTCATTAAATATTCGTCGTCATACGAAGCCGCCATTTCAAAACTAACGGCGAAAAAGCAGCTAATATAGTCCATTCGTATGAAATAAATATCCAGCGAGAAGTGATAGCAGCAAGTTCGAGTACCAGAGAACACAAAATACCTATTAGTGGCATCGACCAGTAATTTGAAAGTAACGAAAGGAGAATACGTTGAACGAAGAAGAATACATAGCAGTTGAACAAGTTGAATAAGCTGAGGGAAGAAGCAGATAAGTTGAATAAGTTGAACGAAGTAGCAGAGAAGTTAAAAGCGAGAAGCAGAGAAGTTAAACGAAGAAAGTAGAATAAGTGGAAGACAGAAACATAGAAGTTGAACGAAGAAGCAGATAATTTGAATAGAAAATCGATATATTTTTATATATTAGGTTGTCAAAAAAGTCTTGCGGTATTTTTACGAAATTTTTATTGAATTTTCAATTGTTCATAAAATTTTTTTTGATGACTCATGCCCAGCTCTTGACCGATGCTACGGCTGCTACTATGC